TCTTTGCTGGGAAATACTGGAGGTTATGTCCCCACTGTAACAGTCAGAAGCCAAGAAAGAAGGTGCGATGCATCCAGAGAGCAGAAGCTGTAACCCAGGAGAGGGGCGATGACGTTCGCTCTGCAGCTGTCCTAGACAGAGCCAGTACCTACTTGAGCGAGATGACAAAAAGTCATTTGAGGGAGGTGATCATTTATTTAATAGATTTGGTTTTATTAAAACTTTGACTTGAGAGCAATTTGTGAATGTGTGGCAAATGGGAAAAATGAAATAAGAGGCACTTGTTAACAAAGGAAAACCAAGAAGTCTAACCACAGACTGTCATCCAAGTGTATAATGTGGCTTTTAGCCATGCCTCAATATCCCACACATATTGATAATGTAAACACTGAAAAACAATTTAACAAAAAGTAAGAGATAATATAAATCCCTGCCAAAATATTGCTCTTAAAAAAGTGAGTCATTAAGTTACAGAAATGCTTTGTTTTCTTTTTTCTGCTTAAAAAAAAAACAATCAGATATCAATGACACCAAATGCAGTGGTGTGCTGGTAAATATCTAATAATAGATTCTTTATTTTTAAAACAATCTTTGATGTAAATATTCCCACTGTAGCCAATTTCAAGGGGCAACTGTGGCATCATTGAAGACAGAGTTGGAAAGAGTTGGAAAGAGATGAGCATGAACATACTGTTACAGTGCTTCCACAGGACGGATCCAAGAGACGGTAACCTCAAGAGTATAACAATAGCAAGAACATAGTTAAATAACCAGGAAAGGATGAGTTCTGAGTGCTTACTTCCTTTGCTTTTAATATGGATTATTAAATGCAAGTAAACATGATTTAATTTTTAATAATGGTTTTATTAAACAACTGGTTCACAAAGTCATTGAAAATTAAAAATGGGCTCTCATGAACTGGAATAAGCTGGCTCTCGCAGAGCATTGGATGTACTGGAAAATATCTTGGCATGATTCAGTATATTTTTTTTCAGTTATAATCAAAATAAAGATATGTGGTTGGGAGGCAAACAAGGAAACCAAGGGGAATTCCTCATGCTGACATGGTCTCCACCTCTCCCTAAGATCAACGCTAAGAAGCTCATTAATGAGGTTATAAGAAAAACTGCCCCTGGGGGGGGGTGGTGAGAAGCCCCGGGCTCCCCCTCTTCTGCTCCACTCTTCCCTCCTGCTCCCCTGTTCAACTTGAGCCTTTATTTTCTCTGTTCTTCTGTCTCCACGTCCTTCCTGTTCTTGCCTTGCATCCTGCTTGTCTCCACTTCTCTTGGTCCCCATTCTTTCTCCTCTCTTTCTGTTTTCTTCTTTGGAGCCTCTGTTCTTCTTCCCTTCCATTTCTCTCTCTCTTTTCCCATTATTTTTCTTTAATATTTATGTATCCTTCCTCTTTGATCCCCATTCCACTTCAGTACACATTGTTTACTGTCTTGTCCTTAGAGCACGTGGAATTGACTGCTGAGGACACAGGTCCTGGCCAATTTGGAGTATACAACTGTATAGCTGATTCATATTGTTGGTTTCGTGGTGTAAACAAGCCCACCTTGGCCAGCTTCAAGGAAACAGTGTGAGGTCACTGAAGGGGTGAAGTCGGGGTGAAGCTGAGAAGTAATGTGCCCTTGACTCTACAGAGGCAGCTGCCTCTCCACTGAGATCATTTGCGGAATGAGCAGAGTTGGTAGAGAAAGAGCCCAGGGGCTGGAGTCAGAGGGTAGCTTGCAGAGGAAATGGGAAATACGTGTGTTCAGCATCACTGGGGAAAATGGATGAGTTGGAGTTCCACTTTGTGGGCTAAGTGTAGGATGGCCATTTATTAACTTAAGGTTCTAGTCCTCCATGTCCAATATGACGATCACTGGTCATGTATGGCCATGAAGCCTTGGAATGTGGCAAGGCTGAATTGAAAATGGGCTGTAAGTGTAAAACACACCACAATTCAAAGACATGTTAAAATGTCATGTTAATATTTTTTTATATTGAGTACTTGTGAACTCATATTTGCATATGGTGGATTATATTAAAAACTAAAAATGCATTCTGCTGTCATATAGACCTAATTAAAATAAGTAAATTAATTAATAAAGTATTTGTTGGTACTAGAAACTGAAGAGGCGCTCTACCACTGTGTTACAATCCCACTCCTTTTTAGTTTTTATTCTGAGACAGAGTCTTGCTAAGTTGCCCAGGCTGACCTACAACTTGTGATCCTCCTGCTTCAACCTCCCAAGTCACTGGAATTACAGATGTGTGCCACCTTGCCTGGTTCATCATTGTCTTTTTAAATGTAGTTACTAGAAAATTCCAAGTCACTTATGTGGCTCGCATTATTTTTGTATTCTCGTGGAGCGTATTGCTCTATTGTTGGTAATAAAGCATTTAACAATCTCTGCAAAGCTTTTAGTCAGGTTCCTGCTCCATATCTAGGACCATTTTAATTTATTTGTTTGAACCAAAACTTTCTCCCCGCCTTATACTTATAAGCTATGGTAAATGAATAAATAATAAACTATTTGAATTTCCAAACCATGTGAAAAATGTGTTACATTTTATTTATTTTTTAAAAAATATAATTTAAAAGTAACTTGTGCCTTTATTTTCACTTACTGATACCTAAATTAAAAGTAGAGGGGCTTTAATCGACACATGTACCATACTAGACCTTAAGTCAGCCAGTGTGTCTTTAGGGAGAAAACTCCCCGGTCCTTCCTTCTATCCAGAAAACAGTCCTGAGTCGGGTGACTTTCCTCCCTGTCTGGATCAGGGCCACTGGCCATGCCAAAGACAAGCCACAAAGTGGACCACAAAACTATCAGGTGGCCTGTGAGTCCTCTGACCAATAGAGATGCTTCGTTTTGGATGGCGGGACAAAGATCCAATCAGATTTTTCATCTTGGGGGAAGAATCTTCAGGATGAGCCTCAGCTCTAGAAAGAAATAAAAGCAAATATAGCGATAAAGAGAAGCTGTGAACTGAAAGAGAAACAGATTGAGGAAGTGCTAAAGAGAAGTGAAGTCAAAGCTAGAGTAGAGAACAGCCCTTGCCCACTTGGGAGGGCAGAGCTGGCCTGAGCACCAGGGGTGCTTGTGTGAGGCCCAGGAAGCCACTGTTCCAGCCTCCACAAGGCCTGGCTGTACCACCATGCGCTCCTGGACCTCCTAGAGTACCTTCAAAAGAAACCTCCAGCCCCTTGAGCTAACCCTAGGCTCTCTATCCACTGCAACTTACCTACGGAAGTAGAAATCTGTCAGGCAGAAGGCTGGAAACAGGGGAAGTCACAAGAGGGGAACTGTGTATATGGGTGTGTTTGTGTAAGCATGAGTGTGTGTGTGTGTGTGGGGGGGCATTTTAAAGGAATAAAAGCATTACATCTCAAAGTTATCAGCACATGTGGTTGTAAGCATACTGTTCTTGGTGGCTAACTCTGACCAAGGATTTAAAAGTGTTAGAAATCTCAGGTGAAGGCAGGAGGACTAGTGCATTCACTCTTGGGATCCTGGAGATGTAAAAAAAAAAAAAAAAAAAAATCCAAAACTGTGCACTTTGGAGCCTGACACATTCAAGTTTGAATCTTGGTGTCTTTTACTGAATGATTATCTTGGGCAAATTTCTTGTTTTCACTCAACTAACCTCCCCGTCTGTCGGGTGGGGTTCCTGCAGGTCTCCTCTGTGGCTGGTGGCCAGGCTTGGCCAGCATCTTTTATGCAGAGGTTCCTGCACTTAGGAAGTAAGTGCAAGCTGGGGTGATGCCGGGCAGGTGACAGAGTCCTGCTCCCTTACTTGGCTCACCTGGTTTTGGTAAATAAGTTACAAAATAAAGACAGAAAACCTCTCAATTTGCTCATGGAGTAAAGTGTTCAAACATGTTGGTCTCTGGGCAAAGGAAGAATAGGCCTTTAGACAACCAAAAGCCTAAGTGATTATTTTTTTCTTGAGAGGAAAATGTACAGTGCAAGTGTGCTGATCTTAATAGTTAAGAATTTCTGTATCAAGGAAGATTTGGAGCTCAGTTCTTTAAACAAGACCCTCTGCAATATTCCCTATGGGTTTGCATCTATGGCCTGTCTCCATGTGTTCATGTAACACAGACATGTTTATGTTTAGGTAGGCAAGAGAGCAGATTGGTTTGTTTTGTTGTATTATGTACGGTTTTTTTATTGTGAGATTTCCCCTCAATAATGTAGAAATATATACAATTACATTTAAAATTCAAAAATCATAATACAATTGAAAAGAACTCTTATTTTAAGAACCTATCCCCTTCCCATTTTTTACTAAATAAATTATAATAAATCTATTACAATCATTTAAAATGTGGAAACTGAATCAGAACAAATTATATTCTATGCTTTTATATTTATTATGTCAAATGTTATGTATAACCAAAAGAACCAATTAAAATCTGGGTGCAGTGGTACACGCCTGTAAACCACACAGGAAGCTGAGGCAGGAGGATTTAGAGTTCAAAACCAGCCTCAGCAACTTAGCCAGACCCTAAGCAACTCAGCAAACCCTGTCTCTAATGAAATATAAAAAAGGGCTGGATGTGGCTCAGTGGTTAAGTGGCCCTGGGATCAATCCCTGGTACCAACAAAACAAAACAACCCAATTTTAAAAAGTGGTCATTCCTCCTGTGGACAAATCCACTTGGAAAGGTTCATCATTGTTGGTGTTCCAGGGGCTGAAGGAAGGGGGGGCCTGGTGAGCTGCTGCTTGTAGGTGTGGCTTTTCTGCTGGGGATGATGAACAGGTTCTGGAGATGGAGAGTGGTGATAGATGTACAGCCTTGTGGATGAACTTAATGCCACTTGATTGCACACTTAAAAATGGCTGTAAAATGGTTTTATGTTATGTTGTAGTTTACCACAATAAAAAATGTGCTTTTAAGATGCTAATAAATTTATGTAACTTGCAATGCCGCTAGCATGCAGTAGAGGGGGAAAGGGATTTAAACTTGACTTTCCTACCTGCTCCTGCAGCTAGTTCTGCCCCTGTCAGTGAACCACCCACACACACCTGCAGCTCTACGGAGACGTGAGAGCCCTGGGGTAAGGACCGTTAGCTCTGTTTTCTTTTTTAATGACAATCCTGAAAAAGAAATAAGGGGCATATGTATCTTTTCTGAAAAGATAATTTAAGCTAATATAGGTTGGGGGGAAGTAGATTTATTGAGATTTTTCAGTATTTACTACTTTGCCTAAAGATCTGTGATTGTCGACCAGGAATATTATTGTGAGGAATTATCTTGCAGATGCTTGGGGGCTTGGGTTTTCTTCACTGCTGATTAAACCTGGTCAGCTCTTCTATCTAGAGTTGATGACCTCAGGAATTGTCATGAGTTCCTTTTTTAGTTGCCTTTAATACATGTTGACAATATCTGCTGGGTGAGATCTTTGGCTACTTAATCATATCTGTTGCTCCTTTACCCAGTTCAAAGGTTTTGCATATGCATTGCTTGCCAAAAAGTAGGGGCAGATCTGATGGACCTTGTGCAATGTTGTTCTTGCTCAGTTTCCCTTAGAAAACCAAGTGGTTAAAGATGGTGGTTTGGCTGCTGGAGGGTTTGGTTCACATTATGTAGGTATTTCATTTCTTAGAAGAGCTTTCTCATGGACGGCCTATGCTGAGCTGTTAATTAGAGATGTGTGCATTTTGAGATTTCTTTTAATTCTTATGAAATTATAATGATCTTAAACATATATTTACGCATAGGCAAAGTCTCTCAAACTTTGTGGCACCCGGAAGAATGTCCCATAGCTTCATACCACTTCAGAGAAAAGAGTTGGAAGAGGGGAGGAGGCCACCATGGTAACGGGCCAGGTCAAAGGAGACCATCTCTGTCATCACATTCTAAGCTGCTCCACTTCAGGGTTTGAGATGTCTTAGCTTGGGTTTAATTGCCATCCAGAAGGGGCCGGACAGATGCAGGTTCAAATCCCTTCTCTACTGCTTATTCACTGGGTCACCTTGGGCATGTTACCTAACCTCTGGGTTTTAGCTCCTCTATCTGTAAAATGAGAATAATAATAACCACTATTTTGTTGGAATGTTGAGTAGGTTGAATAAGACAATGTAGGGAAAACACATAACTCCATATCGGACACATGGGAAACCATCAAAAAAGATCATTCTCTTATGTTTCAAAAGTCATTCAATGTTCAAGGGATTTTTAAGCCTTTGTCCCTTTCTCTGAATCACTGGGAAAAGAGAAATTAGATGACTAAGTATATATCCTTTGGAAAACAACCAGTTGTCATTTCTTGGTGCCCTTGGATTTGGACTGATAAGTCAAGTTTTTTTTTTTAGTTATTAAAGAAAGTTACTGTTTTTCACCTGCTTCAGCATAGTAGTAATAGTAGAAATATGATATTTACTGAATGCATCAAAAGTTTATGTTGGGGCTAGGGGTGTAGCTCAGTGGTAGAGTGTGTGCTTAGCATGTGTTAAGGCCCTGGGTTTGAACAACAACAAATTTATGTTCTATTTTAAAAATGTTTTAGTGAAATGCCATAATTCACATGTATTGCCTGAGGAATTGGACCTTTTTATTTCCTTATATTAAGAGAAGTTCACAAAAGGTTCTGCTCTCATTTTATTTCCATATATAGTTGTGGTACTGGGGAGGGGGAAGAAATGGGTAAGAAAAGGAAACTCTGACATCTCAACCCAGAGGATTCCAGATAAAACAATGGACCAGATTCTGCTACATTTTTCAAGGGTTATCCAGACCTGGAAGCTTAAAGTAATTTGCTGCAAAGTAAAGTACTCTGTAAGATGATAACATTAAAATCGCCTTTATCAGTTTGGTGACTTGGTGATTATAATTACAGGGATCTTGCCTAGCCATAATGGAGTCTGAGGGGGGAAAATCAGTATTGTGATGTATTCTTTATGCTTTTGATATTTGTTCAATGTGAATTTTCACATTAATTTCTTTTAAAAAATATTTCATTAGACCATTGTTAATCTTGATGACTGAGTTCCTTGTTAACCTCTTAAAATCTGTGCCTTACTTACTTTACCCTGGTCTTGGCCTTGATAATTACTACCATTTATTCAATGTGTCATTCCTAAGTGATTTGATGCATGATCTATTTTATGCTTCTGCATAAACCCATTTTATAGTTGAGAAAACCTAGCCTTTCAGAGATTAAACATGTAGCGCACGTCACACAATCAGTGAATGGTTAAGACTGGACTTGAACACAGGTCTGTCCATCCCTAACACAGATTCATTCTTTAGGCATCACACACTGCCCACATGAGGAATTCACAGTATCCATTCATTCATTCGACACTTACTTTTTAGAACACATTATGTACCATCTTGTGTTAGGAGAATAAAATGTTAAAGTCATTCATTCATCCATACATTCCACAAATATTTGCTGAGCCTGTGCGGTGGTTACAGAAGAAGACAAGATAGACAGCCATCAAGGGGATGGGGTGTGGAGGAGACTGTCAATAAACAAAGGAACAAAATAGTTGTAATCTGGTAAACTCTAATTTGCCAGAATAAGAGTTGATAAAATATAAGAATTTTATCATCAAAGTGGATAATTAACATATTTTTGTAAAATGTAGGAATTCTCCAAGTGTACAATGTAAGGAAATTCACACAAGACATGGTGATGATGTGTGTCACCAAGATCGGGAATAAGATGCTCTGTATACTTTGGTGGTACTAACAGTTATATGGACAGTCTGTCTGTCTGTCTGTCTGTCTATCTCCTCCACATGAGGATATAGTGAGAAGGTGGCCGCCTACACACTGGGAAGAGGCTCCTTGTCAGGAATTGTCTTCCAACTTTTTGATCTGGGGCTTTGTAGCCCTCAGAACTATGAGAAATAAATGTTTGTTATCTAAGCCACTCTGGCTATTGTGATTTGTTACTGCAACTTTAAACTAAAGACAAAGTATTTTTATTTTTTTAGTTATTTTGGAAGATATCCCCATGTTTTCTAGAATTTCTTAAAACACACACACACACATAAGCACACACAAACTTGGGAAGGTTCTAGAAAGAGAAATCCAGATGTTAGTGGGTAGTTGTTAGGTCAGCTTTTTCACCACTGTGACCAAAAGACCTGATGAGAAAATTTTAGAGGAGAAAAAGTTTATTTGGTGCTCATGGTTTCAGAGGCCTTATTCCATAGACAGCCAACTCCATCGCTCTGGGCCCAAGATGAGGCAGAACATCGTGGAGGAGCAATAGGAAGCAGAGAGACACTGTAGACCAGGAAAAAAATATACACCCCAAAGGTGCACCCCAGTGACCCACCTCCTTTAGCCACACCCTACCTGCCTGGGTGACCATTCAATTAATTTCTGTCAGGGGATTAATGCACTGATTAGACTAAGGCTCTCATAATCCAATCATCTCCCCTCTACGCTGTCTTTCATTTTCCCACACATGACCCTCTGGGGGACACCTCGTAGCTACCAAAACAGTAGTATTCTAGATAGCCTCATGTTTTCATTCTGCCAACTTAGCCCACCATGTCCATACCCACATGTCACACAGTCTCTCTCTATTGTCTTTGTTTCAATTATTTTTCTTTCAAGTCCTTATCACTACCCCACATATACACGCCTTATTTTGTTCTCAGACTCTTTTCTTACTCGCTGGAAGGTAAGCTGTGAAGGAAAAGAAATCTATCTGATTTGTCTGTTGCTAGACAATTCCCCAATGTCTAGAAAAGTTTTGTCAGAAGAGGCAGTTAATTAATATCTTGAACAATGAACGCATGGAAATCTTAGTTCTCCCACCACCTCTCTTCCGTGTCAGAGAGACAACTTGAAGCCTAGCTCCTCTCAAAGTCCTCTCAATCTTCCATCATGACTTTTCTCACCTGTAAAGTGGGGGTAACAGTGTTTCCCTCACTGAGTATTGTGACTAATGAATGAGATAATACATTTAGGATGTATGTGAGGCATTTAGGATATACCTTGACACATCAAAATCCTCCCAAAATAAAAACTGTTTTCTTTTTAAAAACCATTATTATTGCTATTATTCAACAGCGATCCAGATTGCCTCCAATCTGAACAGGCAAAAGGACAGGAATCCTGATTGTGTCTGTTTGGACCTTCAAGTTAGAGGGTAAGCGATTTTTAAAGACAGATATTATCTCCAGGGACTCTCTATATCCACAAATATAAAAGTTGAGGAGCAACACCGAGATATTAATTCTAGGGCCCATAATATTTAACAATAAAACAAATTACTTTCACTCTTCTTAAAGCCTTCTGGCTATCGAAAGGGGATGTGGGAGGGGGTGATCTGGCAAGGGCATTCCTCAGCGGAGTGGGAGGGAGGTGCTTCTCCCACCTACTGCACTCTCTGTGAGAATCAGACCTCAGTTTGGGGGACATGGCACATGCAGTGACTGGCTTGTAGATGTATCAGCCAAGGTTCTGAGTTTAAGTCAAATCCCCAATATAGGTTGGGACTTTACTCCAGTCTCTTGGTGAATATAGTCAGATACTGGCATTAAAAAAAAAAAAAGTTCTAGAAAAACAAAATTATGTCATTTGCAGGAAATGAATTGAATTTGGGAACATTAGGTTAAGTGAAATAAGCCAAACTTATAAGGTCAGGATTGTATGTTTTCTCTCATGTGTGGAAGCTAGAGAAGAAAAAGGAAAATAAAAGTTGGGTGAGGGGAGGGATCTCATAAAAATCAAAGGAAAATCAGTAGAATAGAGCAAAGGGACCAGGGCTGGAAAGAGGGGAGGGGGCAAGGAAGAGCTGGAGAGTGACACTGACTAAATTATACTATTACATTGTGTGCATGTACGAATATATAAAGATGAATCCTACAATTGTGTGCAACTTTAATGCAACAATAAAACAATAAAAACTAAAAATAATTACATTTTTTTAAAAAGTCCTATGGGAATTAACAAACCACTTTATTTTATTTTTATTTTTTTTTTTAGTTGTAGACAGACACAATACCTTTATTTTATTTATTTGTTTTTAGGTGGTGCTGAAGATTGAACCCAGTGCCTCACACATGCAAGGCAAACGTTCTACCAACTGAGCTACAACCTCAGCCCTTAACAAATTAATTTTTTTAAACAATTGTTCTGTGCTATCTTTCCACAGTTTGGAACTCATCTTCATCATTCATATGAGGAAACCAGGGATAAAATACTTGGAAACACAATGAAACTCATCAAAAACTTTTATGTATTTTGTAATATTGTTATGTCAATAGAGGGCTTGGCCTCAAAGCTTCCAGAAGAAAAGGAATTAATTACTAACTATTCCAATATGTTTCTAAAAAAGGTTCCCACAGACTTGACCCCAACCACAACCACACTGGATTTATCATATAACCTCCTTTTTCAAGTTCAGAATTCAGATTTTCATTCTCTCTCCAAATTGAAAACTTTGATTTTATGCCATAACAGAATCCAACAGCTGGATATCAAGATCTTTGAACTGAACCAGGAGTTAAGATATTTAGATTTGTCTTATAATAGACTGAAGACTGTAACTTGGTATTCGCTGGCAGGTCTCAGACATTTAGATCTTTCTTTTAATGACTTTGACACCGTGCCTATTTGTGAAGAGATTGGCAACATGTCTCACTTGGAAGTCCTGGGTTTGAGTGGAGCAAAAATACAAAAATCAGATTTCCAGAAAATTGCTCATTTGCATCTCAATACTGTCCTCTTAGGATTGAGAACTCTTTCTTATTATGAAGAAGGTAGCCTGCCCATCTTAAACACAACAGAACTTCACATCGTTTTGCCAAGAAACACAAATTTTTGGGTTCTTTTGCATGATGGACTCAAGACTTCAAAAATATTAGAAATGACAAATATAGACTGCAAAAGCCAATGTGTGAGGCATGAAACTCAACAGAATCTTATTTTAAAGAATGCCAAGACATCTATTCTGTTATTTAACAAAGTTGATTTACTCTGGGATGACCTCCTCCTTATCTTCCAGTTTGTTTGGCATACATCGGTGGAATACTTCCAAATACAAAATATAACTTTTGGAGGGAATGTTTATCTTGACCGCAATTCATTTGACTACTCAAATACTGTAATGAAAGCTATAAAATTGGAGCATGTACATTTCAGAATTTTTAATATTCCACAGGATAGAATGTACTTGCTTTTTACAAACATGACTATAGAAAACCTGACAATATCAGATGCACAAATGCCACACATGCTTTTTCCTAATTATCCTGTAAGTTTCCGATATTTAAATTTAGCCAATAATATCTTAACAGATGACCTGTTTAAAAAACCCACCCAATTGCCTTATTTGAAAACTCTCATTCTGGAGGGCAATAAACTGGAGACACTTTCCTTAGTGAGTAGCTTTGTTAACGGTACACCCTTGATGCACTTGGACCTGAGCCAAAATCTATTACAACATAACAAGGATGAAAATTGCTTTTGGCCAGAAACGTTGATCACCATGAACTTGTCATCCAATAAATTTGCTGATTCTGTTTTCAGGTGTTTGCCCAGAAGTGTTCAAATACTTGACCTGAATAATAACCAAATTCAAACTGTCCCTAGAGAAAGTATTCACCTGAAGTCTTTACGAGAGCTAAATATTGCATTTAATTTTCTGACTGATCTCCCCGGGTGCAGTCATTTCAGCAGACTCTCAGTTCTGAACATTGAAATGAACTTCATTCTCAGCCCATCCCTTGATTTTTTCCAGAGCTGCCAGGAAGTGAAGATTCTAAATGCAGGAAGAAATCCATTTCGGTGTACTTGTGAATTAAGAGATTTCATTCAGCTTGAAAAATATTCAGAGGGCATGATGATTGGATGGTCAGATTCATACATCTGTGAATACCCTTTGAATCTAAAGGGGACTCGGTTGAAAGATGTTGATCTTCCTGAATTGTCTTGCAACACAGCTTTGTTGGTTGTCACCATTGTGGCCATCATGACCATTCTGGGGGTGACCGTGGCCTTCTGCTACCTTCGCTTGGATCTGCTTTGGTACTTCAGGATGCTAGTTCAATGGGCACAAACCTGTCACAGGGTTAGGAGGACAGCACAAGAACAACTTAAGAGCAATGTCCAATTCCATGCATTTATTTCCTACAGTGAACATGATTCTCTCTGGGTGAAGAATGAATTGATCCCCAATCTAGAGAAAGAAGATGGTTCTGTTTTGATTTGTCTTCCTGAGAGAAACTTTGACCCTGGCAAGAGCATTGCTGAAAATATCATAAGCTGCATTGAGAGAAGCTATAAATCCATCTTTGTTTTGTCCCCCAATTTTGTCCAGAGTGAGTGGTGCCATTATGAACTCTATTTTGCCCAACACACTCTCTTCCATGAAAGGGCTGATCGCATCCTTCTTATCTCTCTGGAACCCGTTCCATTGTACTGCATTCCTACCAGGTTCCACGAGCTGAAAGCTCTCATGGAAAAGAAGGCATGCTTGGAATGGCCCAAGGATAGATGTAAATGTGGGCTTTTTTGGGCAAATCTTCGAGCTTCTATTAATGTTAATTTATCAGACACTGGAGAAGTGTGTGAACTACAGACATTCTCAGAGCTGAATGAAGAGTCCCGAGGTTCTACAATATCTCTGATAAGAACAGATTGCTTATGAAACTCCACCTCTGTAGGGAAATTGGGGATCATATACACTGTTGGGATATAAATGGATACAATCTTTATGATGATAATTTGTCAATACCTACTAAAATGAAAAATCATTATTTGCCACAGTCCGGCTGCAGCAAAATAACCGGGGGGTGACGAACTACTTGTGCAGATTGATACAGCAGGAGTGGGAGCGTTTATTGCAGGACAGGAGCAGTATTTATACATTCCACACAGCTTATCTAATTAGCATAAACTAGATACAGCAGTCAACCAATCAGGAATCTCCACACTTAATGGCTCGCTTTTGTTACTTCTCAAACCACTCCCTCTGGCATTTTGCCAGGCACCATCCAGACTTGTTTACGAACTCTAACATTCCCCTGGCAAAATGCCAGGTGTTATTTTGACTTGTTTACAGACTCTAACAATTATTCCCTTCATGTCATTTTCTAGAAAAAATTCTAAAAATATATTCTCTGGGGGTTGGGGTTGTGGCTCAGTGGTAGAGTGCTTGTCCTAGCATGTGTGAGGCACTGGGTTCAATCCTCAGAACACATTAAAAAAATAATTAATTAATTAATTAGAGTTAAAAATATGTTCTCTAAAACACCTGTACAAGTTTGCAATGTTTTATGTAAAAAGATGTTTATCACAGAATTTTTTTATAACCATGGAAAGTTGAAAAGCTTCCCAAATATTCACAAAATAAGGGTTGATTCAATAAATTCTAGTATACCCATGTAATAGGATATTAAATAGCCATTATAGTATGGAGAAAATTATATTAATATGTTAGTTTATACATTGAAATAAAGGTCTAAAATAATCTGTATCAGCATACTGATATAGTAGTCATGGTTTGGGTCTAGAAGTTTGGATTACAGGAATTTCTATGTTGTGTATACCTGTAATGTTTGAATTGCTTAGAATGAATCTGTATTTCTTTTGCAAGTTAAAAAAATAATTTTTTTAAAGCCTACACATCCTACTCATTTTGTTTGATTCTTCTCTTCTTGTCTCACAATTCACCAGAAAGAAACAACCACTTCTCAATTTTGCAAAATCGTATTTCAGAAACAAACATGTCACTTCTCTGGTTGGAAAATTCTTGTAGTTTACCCACATGTAACAGAGGAAAAGTTGCATGTACTTTTAAGATTGAAACCATTCTCCTCTTATCTCCCTGCATCCTGGGCTCAGTCATTGAGCTCTGTTAAGTCATTTGCCCTTTCTGGGACAATCAGCCTTCTTTGTGCCCCAGACTAGAGAGTGCATCTGGCATCATGCCTGCCTGGAATGGCTTGTTCAGGAAATCTTACATTTCCTTCAAGACACAATACAAAAGTCAACCTTTCTTGGAAAACTTCCTCAATCCTTCCAGTAAGCATGATACTCCTTCATTCTTTTTAACACTTTGGACATATTTCTATCAGCCAACTCATTATAGACCTCTTTAAAGTCTCCATTTCTCACCAGACTATGAACTCCTAAAGGCCATCTGCCCCTGTATCAGCAGCAGTTTGCACAATTCTTTTTTCAGAAAAGGTGCCTGCTAAATGCTTAAGGAATGAGTTTGGGTTGGTTGAAGATCTTAGTGGGACACAACTGGCTTCAGGATAGATGGTGGGCTTTGAAATCAAATCCTGAGAAGCTGGGAAAGAAGAGAAGGAATAAGTTAAACTCAGGCAAAAGGAAAGAGAATCAAGAATTGAAGGATTCCTGAGTATAGAACGCATCACTTGAAATTGCCAAATTGGGTTGCTCTTGATCTACAAAGATACCTGGTTTTCATCTCATTTACTCTAATAAAATTGATCTATTGAGCAGGTTAAAACTGAATTCTGCATCTACTTATTTCCTTACAGTTTGTACTCTTATGAATTCCTCATGCTAAGTAGTTTTTTTTGAGTTGTATTCTAGATGGTCAACCTGAGAGTATGGGGAAAGGGCTGAGAGTCAGTCTAGAAGCCAGGTTATGCCACCATCTGGCCAGAAGCCAGAGTTGAGGAGCCAGAGATTAGCAGACTTGAAGCTGAGCATCTCCTGCCCCTGCCTGATGAGCCCATGGTCTGTCTGGCAGAAGGGGAAAGACAAGGAAATTGCAGTGGCTGAGGGCAAAGCCTGGGGACAAGGCTTTTCCTGGGCTGGGCCACTGACATGATTGTGATTCCTGGCTTCTCAAGAAGTGAGACAGATTCCATATGAGAGTTTGTAAATCTTGAGTAAAATACTTAACATGAGATGAAGTAATTTTGGATCATACAAAGAAGGTAACATTAGCCCTAAACTCACCAGAATTCAGTTATTTCATGATAGAATCCTCAGTTTAGTAATACAGCTTTAACAGCAGATGTGTTCTATTACAATTTAAAAAACATTAGATTTAGCTTTCAGAACTTCTTTTTTCAGAAGCTGGACAAAGGCAGCTTTCATTCAGAGTTGGCTTTAAGGATGTTGGGTGGGGATTCCTTAAATCTTACCCATTATGTGTTCCTTTCTCAGAAACTCAGATACTATCTAGCTTCCTAATATTCTTGGTTTTGACTGTTAGGTACTCAGAAAAAAAATAAATTTTACATGAGTTGAATGTTATTTGCTTTGGGGACTTGAGACACTGTAGCTCAGTAGTAGATTGTTTGCCTAGCACATGTGAGGCACTGGGTTTGATCCTCAGCACCACATGAAAATAAATAAATCAAATAAAGATACTGTGTTCCTCTACAACTAAAATATGTATAATGTATACTATATATAATTATATATACCTACCTTATGCAAACCTAATGATGTAATTCCATCCAAGGAATTTCAGATTTTAGTAATGAGCCATTCTGCTGAATCATGAGCTGAGCATCCATTCCCTCATGCTCTGATCAGGTCTGGAAAATGGCTTCAGATCTTATGTACTTGGAATTTTCTTATTATTTCTTGCCATGTGTCCATCTGGAGCTTCTTCTATTTTTTTTCCCCCCTCAAGGAGCCCAAATTCTGTATCAGTGTGGTTGAAGTCGTTCTGTGGATTCCTCGGGGGCCTTCACACTCACTGAGCATCTCTGCAGATGGATGGCAGCATTTCCTGTGTGTCAACATCTGAGCTGAGAATGGGCTACATTCTTTGAATAAATATGGAAGACGGGACTGTTCTGAAATGGAATTGCCATCTTCAAATTCCAAGCAGATCGGCAGGGAACAGCAGTTTTAAATCTGACTTATGGCAAATGTTCCCTAAGTTCCATTCCTCTGTCTTCCATAATGAATCACTCAAGAGAAGTACAGCCTAGGGGAATTTGAAGTGAGTGAGAACTTAAAAATTATCAAGCATAACTCTCAATTTCAAATGAAGAAATTAAGACTTTCAAATTTTAAATGATTTGCCAAGCCCAAGGTCAAACATTTGCCTTTTAAATCCTAGACCAATGCTTTTGCTTCCAAAGTCCACAGCAAACTGTGGCTACCTTTTTAGCCAAAGGTAGGGTCATTCAGGGTCGGTGTTAGGGAGGTTGGTTGGGAGCTTCTGGTCAATACAACTTCAGACAGCGACTCTATCTGCCTTCTCAAAATGAAAATGACTCTTCTTCAGAATATGTTTTGATGGTGGTGTCCACGATGTCTCAATAGTAACCATTCTAACAGTGCCCATATATTCTAATAATTAGTTTGAAATATTCAAATGAAAATCCAATGAAAGTTATTTTGAATCCTCACATATTTTCCTAGGACACTTCAACATTGCCTCTGCTATCCAAATCTTTGCTCCAAGCACATACCCTGTGAAGATTTCTTAGGCAACATAATTGAAAATGGTAATTATCAATTGCCATTTTTTTTTTATCAACTTTCCTGCTTTTTTTTTTCTCCATAGCATTTCCCACCTTCTGAATCACTATGTAATTTTTCTGTTTATTCTGCATTTTCTCCACTTCCCCCACCAGAATGCAAACTCAAAGCAGAAATTTTGGTCTGTTTTGCTCAGGAATTTTGTCTGCATCTCTGCCTAGAATAGTCCTTGGCACACCGCCACTCCCCAAGTATTCTCAGAAGGAAACAGAGTTCGTGGACTCTCTGCTGACTCTCTGCTCTTCTGAAGTCCAACAGAGCTCTGGCTGCCAAAGCCACCCACTCCAGTGTCGGCCTCTGATGTGAACCAGGGGTACAGATTGGACTGGAGGACACTCCTCCCTTTCAGTAAGTGTTTTTCTTGCTGGCACTTTCTGAGACCTGCCTCTGTCTCTTCTCCACCCCACACATGCTCTTGACTCTTCACTTCCTCCTTGAAGCTGGTGGATCTCAGGGGCTTGCCCTTGAACTATTTCAGAGTCTGAAGATTACACAAATCACCACAAATGGGGTGTATGGCTGCCCCCTGCCAACCACTGTCCATGTTCTTCTTCTTGTGTCAGCCTTTCTAGAGGAGAAGGGGCAGTAGTGGGCCAGCAAAGCCTCTGCCACAGGACTGCACCTCTGTGCTTTGGAGGCCTTCCTTGAATTTTCTAAGCCCTTCTCACAGCCTGGGACTTGTCAGGACTGGCCATGTTCTCCAGGAAGGAGACTCCTGGCTCAGAAGACCCAGACCACAATGACCTCTGTCTTCCTCTGTCAAGATGCTTCTGACCCTGAACATTGTGTCAATCAGATATCCCCGCCAGCTCTGGGACTCAAACCATGGAATCTCCTCAGAGGCTGGTGGTTGGGCTTTCATTTAAGGTGAGCAGTCGGGCAACTAGGTTATTCCTGCTGGCACCACGGTGCAGTGTGGGACCTCCTGAGACCGAGCAGATGGCGCTGACATACTGATTTGGGGGTAACTTCAACTTGAACACAAGATGGCTTCAGGACTCGGTTACCAACAGTTCACCACTAAGCCTTGGTTCAAATCACCAGTGTGGGCCTGTGTCCATCTGTGTCTCTATTGTGGGTGGCATCACTGCCTGTCTTCAACACTTGATGGTGGCAGGTATGTGCCATCACACCCTGCAGCCACTGGCACTCAAGCCACCCCTACTGTAGGCTCTGAACCAGGCCAGACAGTCCTCTGAAGATGGCTTCAAGACTGAGCACTGTCCTTCCAGTCAAGGTCTCTCTTGCTTCCCACGGGTGGGAACTGCTCATTCTCCCTTCACGTATGGACCCCTTGCCTTCCATCCTTGCTATTGGAGGGGTTTCGTCACCTCTGAAAGAGCTCCCATTCTAGGACTGCAGTGACGACCACATCAAGAGCCCAAGAGGACACGTGGCTGGAAAACGGGTTGCTCTGTGTTCACGCTGTGGCATTTTGGATGGTGAGCTTAACGGGACCAGAAAGCAAACATGGGCTCACATGTTCCTGCACACCCTTGGGAAGACTTGCATCAATGAAGCACAATAGTGACCTCTGAGAGAGTCACTGGGGACAGTGTGGATGGATGATGTGGTGACATGAGTAACAATGTAACCAGCGTCACAGAGGCACTGTTAGGGAACTGCAGAAGCAACTGCAGAACCGTGAGCAGGTTCTGCAGAGCCAGGACCCTGTGATTAATTACAGCCCGGCTACTGTTTTCTCCTAAGGGAAATACAACCAGGAGCGGTGCCCCCGACAACTGAGCGCACAGAGGCGGGTCTAGATTCAGACAGAACGTGAGGGGGCTTGGAGCCCAAAAGAATCCTCACATGGACCCATGGGATGATGCACACTGGGAAAGCCACTCTTCATTAATACGCCACTAGACCTCACAGGAGTCCGTGTTTTAAGATGTATTTTAAAATCGAATTATTTATATAGACAAGGTCCCTGCACTGCAAAACAACAACAACAAACAACAAACCCACCACCACCACAACAGGAAACTTCCCCCAGGGGTCCTGCACACTCTTGGAGCAGCTCTGAGAAGGAAGCAATGGGGCCTCTGCAGGCAGACCCACTGGGTCTTTTCTTCTGGTTGCAGAATGATTTGTTTCCATTTCAAAGCAGCTCACTGGCTGCAAGATAGTTTTAAATTGATAACTCTG